GTAATTACAATAATTTACTCATTTCTTTCAATTTATTTCACAGAAAAGGATTTTCTATATTTTTTGCACTCTTTAATTTTATTAAATTATTATTATTTTAACGAAGTTTAGATATTCTTTTTAATAAAGGACAATTAAAATACGAGGAGGCGATTAATTATTACTTAAGCGATTTATTTATAACATTGTAGAAATAATAATAACTGCATTATAAATTACTAAAAATAAATACCTATCTAATATAAGTTACTAATGTTAAGTATGCATCTAGTTTTCCCAACTAATTTTTAATTAATATCGTTTATAAACTAGGTGTAATTTAACAGGCATTTTGTCTATAAAATATTTTAAAACCTCTTCCTACTGTATCGCCATTTGTTCTAATTGGAATTATAAAAGGACCGTTGGAGTCATCTAAAAAAAATATATTAACTAGTGACTTCATTATATGACTGAAAGTAAAGTTCTAAGATATATGTTTAGTTAAAAGAGAAAGTTGTCTTTCCTAAAGTCGTTAATAACTAAAAATTATCCGTTGCGATAATACCTTAATTCCGTACCGAAAGCTAGAATCAAATTAATTTTTTAGTGTATTTGTAGATTTGAAATAAAATTCCTTCTATCTTTCTCTGTGAACAAAAATCTTAGATATATACACATAGTGTTTCTGAAATACGTAGCAAGCAAGCTTGTTTGGTGGTTCTAAAGTCCGCCATTTTCGAGGAAAACGTATTTGAAAGTACAGTCAAATGCCAGTCCGGCTCTGGTAGGATCACGAAGAGAAACATTGCAATCTTGCATCTAATCAGCTACTGCTTAGCACCATCCGTCTTATATTTATTTTGTTTTGAAGTCGTTAAAAGCAGGTCAATGTGTCAGTGTCATAGGCCAGTGCAAAATAGTGCATACTTATCAGCGATGAACAAAGTAGTTATTTAATTAATTGTTATCGCAATAGGCGTCGAAAGATTATTATGTGTAGTAGTAAGCTGTTAATATTTACTTTACTATTTGTCGTTCCATAACTTTTACTGTTTACATTTTTCATCGATGCAGCTGCTTAGATGTTATCGCATTTTCTTTGAATGTTGGCAATTCACGCCCAGGTCCGGCTTCGGATTGCAATCGACGCTGCTTTATTCACTATACAATTTCCTATTGCATCTAGTTAACACCATCCAATCTTGCTACTTTGTTTCAAATACACCGTGTAAGTATACCGCAAATACGGTGCTGTTACAGAAAATCGTACAGAAACATACATTGACATTATACGAACTCCTATTAAAAAAATGCGATAGATAATTTTTATTTAATGAGGCCGATTTCCTGTTGAAAGTGTACCCCCTTAAATTTAATTTTGAGTAGTTTGAGGTACAATTCACAATGTAACTAAATATTTATGATTTATTCGAATTGACTGTGATATTTACGTTAATGGATAGTTTGATTATGTAAAATTTACACTATATTTAGTTTCTACTTTTTTGACGTGACAACGTCTTATAATTCGATGGAGTCCGGCTGCACGCACGAAAAAACATGACTCATTGCGGCGTTACCTCGCTCTGAGGCGTTCCGTTTAAGGCTTGAAGTGCAAGCGAGAGCGCGGAACGAGCGACAAAGAGGCACAATCGGCCTCCGCGTTCGGCAGCGTTCGACATCTGTCTCTCTCCTACTTGAGTGAGCGATGCGTCCGCGTGGACAGCT